GAATTTTTATTATTCAATGATAGAAGAATGATATTTTTGAAAGAAAAAAATTTAAGGGCATTTTAGTCCAAAACGCCAGTAATCCAACAATACTTAAGGAAAGAGAGGTAATGACATTCCCGATAATATACTCCAAAAAATCTACTATTGATAATCTTACATTACCGGGAATGGGATTCCTGAGCTAACTAAACGGTGGATTTCATTCCCATGGGAATCCCACATTCCCCCATCCAAACGCCCCCTAAAGAATATTGATAAGTGATCGCATTTTCTCACTCCTAAACTGTGCTGTATTGCTACATTCACTTGAAGTCACTTCTCCAATTTTTTATTTAATCATTAGTATTCGGTTTATTAATCGATTAATTTATATAAAATATTATAGATACTCTGATTTTTTTAATTTAATTTAAATTTTTATGATATAAAGGTTCAAACTCTTAACTTACTTTAAAAGAATCTAATATTTTATCTCATAAGACCAAATAATTATAGGTAAAATTATTAATATTTTAATATAATTATTATTTTAATATAAATATTTATATCTAATTTATCAATCAATTAAATTGAATACTATACATATTCATTATTAAATAATTATTTCAATTTAATTTTTATTTATAAAATAAAAAATTAACATTAATTTTAATAGACTAATTAATAATTAATATACATATAAAAATTTCAATACTTTACTTCTAACCTCTTAATTTAATCTTTTATATTTGATTGTTCGAGAGCGAATTAAAAAACTATTGTAATCACCACCGACAAATATGGATGTTGGTAAAACACATAAATTAACAGTTAATTAGACTATTTTTTTAATTATATGGTTCTCTCTATTAGGTGTCTTTATTTGGTCCGTTCAAAATAACAATAAGGGTAAAGTATAGTAATGGTCAATAAACTTTTCTAAAGCTTTCATATAGGTCCCTCAACTTTTAAAACTTACAATAAAGTCCTCGAACATTTAGTCCGTTTGCAATATGGTCCCCAACGTTACACTGCCGTTAGTACGTTTACAATATGATCACTGAACTTTTCAGACGCTTACATTTAGGTCCCCCAACTTTTAAAACTTGCAACACAGTCTTCAATTTCATTATAAACCCCAAATTCCTTTTCGATCTCGAATTTTCTTTTTCGTTTCTCTCTTCTCATTTCTAGCGTAACTTTTCAGTCGGGGATGCATGAGAAATTCTAATATAACTTTGAATTATGTGGACGTGTTGACTTGAATAAGAGTTCATAGAGAGAAGACCCGACCAAGGGACTGTCGGGACCATCAACGATTCAAGGTGTAATGTTAGATACAAGTCATCTCAGGAGAAGCATAGATGTTCGATGAAATGTTTGTGAAAACAGTGGGGTTAGAAATGCAGAGTTGAAAAATATTACTAAGATGAACTAAGTATCATTGTTGAAAGTCACCAACAAAGCTGGAATTATTTTATATAAATGCCATATAATAATTTATTCGCTTAATCCTTGTGGTTAAAGATTTTCCCACATATGATCAAATATAATGAAATCCCAAACAGTGCATTCACCTCTCAGTCTCTTTCGTAACTCGAAAGGCATAATGACAAGCTCAAGTAGCTACTCCAAATATAATACCCTGTCATGATGTCTTTCGAGTTGCGTGCATGCAGAATTGTCTTCTAAAGCTATAATTCAATACAATTCGACTGTAAAATTTCCAAAACATGTAAAAAAAATCCAATTTGTTCACGATATATCAGTCCCATAATCAACATGAACTTATTAAAAAGAATACGAGCTCACATGACGTTGAAAACCACAAGTCAGATCAATACAATTCCAGTAAACTAGTACCAGCAATATCTTGGATTGAGCCTGACGATTTCACTGTGTTGATACTCATAACCAATTCCTTGATTTAAAGAAAAACCAAACAAGAAGATCAAAAAAATTTAGCCTAAGACCCTCTTTCACTTCTATTATGGTGGACTGGATATATTTCATAAGGAGTACTAAAAGTTTTGATTAATAATAAATAAAGAAAATTAGAAGGTTTTGGTTCAAAACTAACACTAAATATCTAGATCATTGACATGCAGTTCCATAAACATATAAATTTAACAAAAAACACACAATGCGAGTTGAATGAGAAAGTGCGAAAGAGGAAAAACTTACTTCTGGATAGCATAAAAGAGAAAATAAACACCTTCTTGCAAGTGAGGGGAGAGGCTAAGAAATAAACGCAATAGGTGTTACGTTCCAACAATTCTTCGTCCATTTTTTCGTTGTAAATAAAAAGATGAAAGACAGAGCACTGCTTGGGTTTACAATTTTACATGACGGAAAATTGAAGAACAAAAAATAAATGAGAGTGCATGTGAGCGAAAGAGATTGAGACGTGAATGTGATGTTTGGGATTTCATTATATTTGATCATCTGTTGGAAAATCTTTAACCACAAGGATTAAACGAATAAATTATTATATGCCATTTATACAAAATAATTACAGCTTTGTTGGTGACTTTCAATAATGATACTTAGTTAATCTTAGTAGTATTTTTCAACTCTGCATTTCTAACCCTATTTTTTCTCACAAGCATTTCGTCGAACATCTATGCTTCACCTGAGATGACTTGTATCTAACATTACACCTTGAATCGTTGATGGTCCCGACAGTCCCTTGGTCGGGTCTTCTCTCTATGGACCCTTATTCAAGTCAACACATCCACATAATTCAAAGTTATATTAGAATTTCCCATGCATCATCAACTGAAAAGTTACGTTGGAAATGAGAAGAGAGAAACGAAAAAGGAAATTCGAGATCGAAAAGAAAATTCGAGATCGAAAAGGAAATTCGAGATCGAAAAGGAAATTCGAGATCGAAAAGGAATTTGGGGTTTAAAATGAAATTGAGGTATGTGTTGAAAGTTTTAAAAGTCGGGGGACCTAAATGCAAGTGTCTGAAAAGTTCAGTGACCATATTGTAAACATACTAACGACAGTGTAACGTCGGGGACTATATTGTAAACGAACTAAATGTTGGAGGATTGTATTGTAAGTTTTTAAAGTTGGGGGACCTAAATGAAAGCTTTAAAAAAGTTAAGTGACCATTACTATACTTTACCCTAACAATAATTCTACATTTTTAAAAGATAGATTATTTCATTTGGTCACGTATTATTTGTTAAATTTAAAAAGTTAAATGTTACTTTTTATAAATATTAAATTTATGTTATAAAATTACTTGATATTTTAATATGTGTGTCGTTTTATACTGTATTTGTAATAAACTATTTTAAAAATATACATTTTTATAATGTTAAATTTGTTTAATATATCAATTGTCCTTTAAACTTCAAAATGTCCCCCCCCAAAAAAAAAAAAAAAAAAAAACTGGGCACATGAATTTGAGTGTACAATGTTGGATGTGCAAATATGCATGGCATAGTCAATGTCACAGTCACCTTGATCTTTGTGCTATTCGTGTTATTCTTACCTATTATAATTGGATTGAGAATATGAGTGTAGGCTTGCAAGGACATTAGCATAATTTTATGTTAATTATCGAATTTTTAAAATTTTAGGAGAAAATAAAATTATAAAATTTTGTATAACGAAAATAAGCTTTTAATAATATATATATAAATTAGATTATATATTTTAAATTAGGAGACAATTGTTCTCATACGCCCCCTTTTCAGTCCATCTCTATATGAATAGATGGACTCAAGAAGGAACGAGCGAAGTAGTCGTTATTTTAAAAATTTTAAATTATTATATATTTTAGAACTTTTTTATGTTAATATTGATAACCTATATTCGTTCTTCTTAATTTTATAAGTTTATTCTCCTATAATTTTTAGAAATTAATTTCTTCTAACGTAAAATCTTATGTTCGTCCTAAGTGTGTACTTGATGCATTCAAGTTCAGAGTTTAAGATTTATAATTTTATGTATAATATAATAAATTTGACAATTATTTTACAATAATAAATAATCTCTAAAGTAAGTGATTAAATCTTTCAGTTAACATATATCATTTTTCAAAAGTTATAAGTTCAATATCCATCAGGATAAAAATTCCCCTTCATATTCTCCAAGAAATTGTTTAAAAAATAATTATTTTATAATAATTTAATAAATTTTAATAATTATTTAAGAATTTAATAAATTTTAATGATTATTTTTGTAACAACTAAATGAATTTAATTACTTATAAATTTTAAACATTAAGTGACTAAATAATTGTTTAAATATAATTTAATGATTTCAATTGTAATTCATAATTTAATTTAGAGTTAATTGTACCATATGTTCTCAAATTATTACCCTTATTTTAAATTGATCTTTATAATTTTGAACACATCAATTTTATCCCTATATTATGAATATTATTTTAAATTAGTCATTAAAATTTTTAACATTGCAATTTCATCCCAAAACTATAATATTCATTCTAAATTAGTTCCTAATTTTTTTAATAGTTCAATTATCCCAAACTATAAGTATATGCTAATCATATTCCTTGTTAATAAAACGTAACACCAAACTATATTATTATATGTTTTAAAAAATAAAATTTAGGTTAAATTATTGTTGAAACTAATTACATATTTGGATGAATTTGATGATGAAATTAGAAGATTCAAAAGTTTGGAGACCAATTTAAAGTAAGGGTTATGGTTTGGAGATAAAATTAAAATGTTTGATAGTTTGAGGATTAATTTTGAATACGAGCCATAATTTTAAGATAAAATTGAAATATTTAAAATAAGAGTCATAATTGGAAGATGTGTGATGAAATTAAGTATCTAATTTATTACTTTTTGTGTGTGTATTTGGAGGGAATTGGAGGGCGCAGGATAAGCGAATCTACTTTTGCCTTTTGGGCGTAGGTTAAGCCTGTAGATAGAATAGTAAGAAACCAAGAACAGCGGAACAAGGACAAAATAAATAAATAATATAAAAATACTTTAAATTTTCTATTTATTTTTCTTAAAAGGAAAAAGAGAGAAAACAAAAAGGAAAAGAATCGCCGTTAATGATCGATGTCGAAAATGAAGCATCTCTTAAGGAAACTCCACATCGGCGGTGGTTTAAATGAGCACCAACGATTGGCGGAGGCGCTGCCCGTGACCGCCCCGAGTCCGAACTCGAATTCCATGACCGTGGTGGAACCGGAAACGATGACTTCTTTTTCACCGTCTTCAGTTAATTCAAGGACAATGGGGAGAATCGGGGCCGTTGAACCGGTCGGGGCAGATCGGACGGCTGGAAATGAGTTCGATTTTAATTTACTGGAAGAGGAGTTTCAGATGCAGTTGGCTTTGGCGATCAGTGCCTCCGATCCCGAGACAGCTCAGATCGACGCCGCTAAAAGGATTAGCCTCGCTGGCACCGTCACCGGCGCCTTCGCTGAGTTACTCTCGCTTCGTTATTGGGTAATATATTCTTTTGTATATCAATTATATATATAAATAGGTTTTTGAAATTGCATTTCCTGTTTGAATCGGTTCCAGCATTGAACTATTTGTCCCCTCAATTTGGTTATGAGGTCATTGTATTTATACCTTTTATTTAATTTTTTGGCGAATTGGTGTCTTTTACTAATAAATTCTGATTGCATTTCATGTTTTCTCGATGTAATTACTAGTGTATTTATTTATTTCCATTTTTTTTTGCAAATGGGGATTTTCGACTGCATATCTCATTTTGAGCAGTATTTTTTGTTGTTGTTGAAAATCTTACATTTGATTCCATTCTCATTAATCATGAATTGGTTGGGTTAAAAATTTACGAGTTCTTGAAATTCTCATAGTCTTGCTACCTCTTTTAATTGAAGTTTTCCTAAATGTAGCAATTGGTAATTTGGTACATCCTTATTGGTTTCTTTCATTTATGTTGATAATATCTCTTTGTTTAAGGCTTTAAGCATGTTTAAGTTTTGCTTGCCGCTTGCCACCAATGAATTGTGTTCCAATTATATGAAAATCGATTTTATTATTTGTGCATGGCAGTTTGTAGGATAAGCAAATCTCAAATCGACTTAAAAAACCATTTTCTTTTTAAATTGAGTTGTTCAAGTTAACTCATATTAATGGTCCAGATTTCGAGTTTGAATATTAAAAATTTGAATCAACGAAAAACTGTATTAAAACTGTGTTGTTTTTGGTTATTAGTTAAGTAATTTCATTGTTTTGCTATTTGGTTATTGATTTCCTTCATTCCTTGTTCCTTCAATCCCTCCATTGTTTTAAGTCTATTTTGACCAAATTTAAACCACATGCTCCTCTACCATGTAGAATATCTTTGTAACTTCACTTCCTCTTGTTGTAATTTGGTCAACTTTGTATTTTATTCAATTTGGTCCTCTGACTGCAACTCTCTGCAAAGTCTTTCTTCCCATCAACCCCTTAACTCCTTTAGACTATCATCAATACTTTGTCATCAAAATCTATTCTTTAAAAAATAATATTATAAATATATTATATAATTTTAGATGATATTCGATTTATTAAATAACATTACAAATCTTACTTACACGTGTGGAAAAGAATATGAACAAATATATATATGTATATCGTATACGGTTAGAGAGTCATTTAAATTGGAAACAACCAATACCATAACATTATAAACTCGAGATATTCAATTTGACTCGAATCTTATTTCATAAACTCGAGTTGAAAAAATTTCAAATGAAGTTTGAATGATAAAAAGTGCTCGTCAACTTGACTAACTCAATTTTTTCCCATTTGATTCAACTCGATTCGATCAAATACTCACCCCTAGCAGTTCACTAGTTTCTTTGATTTGTGTTATATAATGCCAGGTCCTTTGTAACTAGAGCTAGTTGGTAAACACTCCCAAAAAAGAAGAAGAAAAATACGTATGCTTTTTTCCATAAATATAAATATATATATATATATATATATATATAGAGAGAGAGAGAGAGAGAGATCTTGTTTTTATTGATTCCTGTTTGATGATTTCATTCACTATTGGTTATGACGGTGGGATATTGTATTCAATATGGATATGAATATTACTTGTTATTAGTTTTGAATGTGGATTTTTTATGTTGATTAATAAAAATAAATCCATTTTCATCCTTTGGTTTTTACGTGTTGTACATGCCTGGACAAGTTCTAAAACCTATTAGATGATATATTTGTTTCTTTTTCTCTTGAGGAAATGAAAACTAATTTCAATGTTGTGTTGTTTGCAGAATTATAATGTTGTAAACTACGATGAAAAAATTGTGGATGGATTTTATGATGTGTATGGCGTCGCCTCAAATCTGGGTGACCAAGGGAAGATGCCAACTTTGGTTGATCTTCAAGCAGTATCAGTGTCGGATAATGTTGATTATGAAGCGATTTTGGTTAACAGTTTGCTTGATCCTGAATTGCAAGCACTTGAGAAAAGAGTGTATAACGTATATATGCAGTCCCGAGCTTTTGGAAATGGCCCAATTTTAAGTGGCATGATTCAGCAAATTGCGGAAATAGTTGTTAATAGAATGGGTGGTCCTGTTGCTGATGCTGAAGAGATGTTGAGAATGTGGACCTCGAGAAGTTATGAGTTACGGAATTCTCTTAACACTATCATTCTTCCACTTGGACAGCTTGATGTTGGACTTTCTCGTCACAGAGCCTTGCTTTTTAAGGTTGTAAAAACCCTTGACTCCTCTTATTTCCATAAGTTAAACTAACTCATGAAAGATGTTTTCCTTTTGACTTCACTTATGTGAGTTATGCCTATACCGCCCCTCTTTTTCCTTTTCATTTGATGGCTTTTGTTTAACTTGCTTTTGTGCTAGTCATATATCCTGCCACTTTTGTCTAATTTTAACTTGCATTAAGGATAAATGTATGTGGATCGTTTATAAGGAAATTGTTTCAATGTTTCTGGTTCCAGGTTCTAGCTGATAGAATTAACCTCCCCTGCATGCTGTTCAAAGGGAGTTATTACACTGGTACTGATGATGGAGCTGTGAACTTGGTTAGAATCAACAACGGGAGGTAATCTCCTCCGTCTCTACTCTATGTTTTTCCTTATATTATCTTTGATTTTGGTAATTATGTATTGCATTCTACTATTTGTGCATATCAAGGTCTTTTTTCTTGAGCTTGTCCCTCAACATTTCGTCATACCAGTTAAAATTTTCTGTTCACTGTTCAGCCCTGTTCTTTAGGTGATGCAAATTTTGTCCTTAATGCTAAATACACATAGTTTTGAGTTTGTGGTTTTTCTTTCAGTTCCTTCATGTATTCTGTTTTAGCCTTTAAGTGGTTTTGCTGTCTAGTCGAAGAAAAGTTCACTTTTGGATGGGTACATGCTGATGTAATTAATTATCTAAAAATTGCAGTGAATATATAATTGATCTGATGGGTGCTCCTGGGACACTAATTCCTGCTGAAGTGCCAAGCTGTCACCTCCTAAATTCTGCACTGGATGTAAGGGGCTTTGCTGGTCGTAAAGATGCTTCTCAGAGTCCATCTTTTCTGCTTGACAAAGGAATTGAGAATTTGGCAGTTTCAGCTGCTCTTGATATGAGCCCTAAAGTTAGCAGTCAGGCAAATGAAGAGGAACGGAGCCATGCTGAAAGAGCTGTCCTTGAGAGATTTGAACAAGACTTTGGGAAGCTTCTTCCCTTGACGCCTAAATCCAGTGAAAATGTTTCTGGCTTCAATGAAAACCCTTCATCAGTGCAAAAGAGAAAGGTTAAAAATGTTTCTAAGTATGTTATCAGTGCAGCAAAGGACCCAGAATTTGCTCAGAAGTTACATGCTGTTTTGATGGAGAGTGGTGCATCACTTCCTCCAGATTTATTCAGGGATATTAACTCACATGATCTCCGTGAACACAGTGGGCCTGAACAAGTAGTAAAAGGGACAACTGTAGAAGCTGCCGCTAGCTGCAATTCAAATGAGGTGCTAATCAATGTGCACTGTCTTATATCCTCTGGCGCGGAGACTACAGAAAATGCTGATTCAAATCTTAGACAAAACCACATGGCTAAATACCAAAGAGAGTTTGGAATGAATGACATAAAAACTAACGTTGCATCTTCATCTGATGCTACATGTGAGGAATTTCCTGTTGGTAATACGACTAATGTGCGGACACAAGTTTTTGAGACTTTCATCTGCTCTGCTAACGAGTTTTGCCAAATACAGCCAGAAAATGTCTTGGCAACAGATGACAAGTTAATGCGAAGGACGTCTGGTGCAGAGTTCGATAAAGAATCTGCATCAGAATTCATTGAACCCACAGGTGATTTGCATTTGATTAGTAAGGCTCACAGTGAGAAGATACATCCTATGCTTAGAGAGGTTTCAAAATGGGAAATTCCATGGGAGGATCTTCAAATTGGTGAACGCATTGGTATTGGTAAGACCTCATAATAATAATCACACACACACACACACACACACACATATATATATGTCTGGCTCTGCTTTCCCTAGTTCTTTTAAGTTTTGGATATCTCCTCCCTGCACTAACATTGGACTAGCACAGTATAAAGAACAATCCCGTAAGTTTCACATTTTATCTCAAGCCTGCTAGACTTGGAAACTGCAAATAATATTATGAAATTGGTTAAACCTTCTTTTTGATATAACGATTTAGGAATAGGAGCTAGCTTAGTTGATTGTATATTTCTTTTATATTCGTGTTTTACTGGATCTACAGTCGTAGAATGCGGTACTTGCTTGAATATGACTCGACTGTTCCTTACCAGTGCACACTTGCTTAATAGATGAACGCTTCTTGCAGGATCATATGGTGAGGTCTATCGAGCAGATTGGAATGGCACTGTGAGTTGCATTTGCTATTACTTCTGTTCTGTGGAACTTTTAAGAGTTGTATTGTATATACTATATGACACAATAACAATGCTACATGCAGAATTTCCAAAAATTGTTATATCTTTATCTAAGCAGTGACATTGACATTGTTTACCAAGTTTTCTAGTTGGAAAATAGAGTAGGTGTATATGATTGAACAATCAAGGTAATATCTGATTCAAACTTACAAAAATCTCAAAATTTCTTACTGCTGTAGTAAGTTTACTACGTGCACTAGCATTCGCTTCTGCTAAATAATTCATCTATGACTGATAAAAAGTATGTGGCTTGTTCAAAAAGTCTCTTCGATGACTTTTATGGTATTTTCATTTGAGCCTTTGACTCATTGTCTTTGTTGGCTCTTCAGGAAGTTGCTGTGAAGAAGTTTCTAGATCAAGACTTCTCCGGTGATGCATTAGTTCAATTTAAATGTGAAGTAAGCCCCAAAGAACTTACTATAGTATGATGCTTGTTAATTTCCTCCCATGCTTGTGAGCTCAACTTTACTTTTGAATGAATTTATATTGAGAACCAAGGTCATATCTGATTGATGACCCTGTGCAGGTTGAAATCATGTTAAGGTTGAGACATCCAAATGTTGTTCTTTTCATGGGAGCTGTTACTCACTCCCCACATTTCTCTATACTAACAGAGTTTCTGCCCAGGTTGATTTTCTGTCTATTATCGAAACTGTTCTGATTTATCTTCTTTAGTTTTCAATGTTTTCGTTATTAGTAAGTTAACATTTGTTTCTATGCTGTTTTCAATTGTTATGGGTATCATTGGGCATTTTAAGCTTCATGGTAATTACCCTCTGCTATTAAAGGATAAAAAAGGAAAATAGTTTTAGCATGGTAATTTTGTGTGCATATTTTGTCACTGCTGTTATGTTTGCAGATATTAGATATTGGAATCTCCTATTACCCCGTGTAAGCTACTACTAAGTGCATACATTTTGTGCTTTTCTGTGCACGAAAACAAAGTATCCTTCTGTAGATGTGTGTTTTCTTTTTTATTCTGACGACCACTCTAATTGTTTTTGTGGTTTCTGCCCGTAAGTGATTATTTGTAAGACGATGTTGGCCATCCTGCCTTACATTCTTGTTCCTCCCTCATTCTTATGCAGGGGAAGTTTGTATAAGCTATTGCATCGACCCAATCTGCAACTTGATGAGAAGAGACGGATGCGAATGGCTCTTGATGTGGTAGGGGTCACAAGTGAATAATTTTTTTTTTATTTTGCTTCGTATTTTGCACTAAATTTGTGCCTCTCCCTTTCACTCTTCTTCTTCCTGCCTGTTTGTTTTTAATTGAAGCTTTCTATTTTTTTGCAGGCTAAAGGAATGAATTATTTGCACACAAGCCATCCTACTATAGTGCATCGAGATTTGAAAACACCAAATCTCCTTGTCGATAAGAACTGGGTTGTAAAGGTTCATATCATAAATCTAATTTCTGGCAAAAACTGTTTCTTGTTTTTGAGCTACTTTACCGATCGATTTACTTTCTGCTGAAAGATGTTTATGGATTTTTGTTTGGAATATGTTTGTTTCTCTATTCAGGTCTGTGATTTTGGGTTGTCACGCATGAAGCATCACACATTCCTCTCTTCAAAGTCTACGGCTGGAACGGTAGTATTACTAAAAGATTATCCTTGGTTTTCACTTTGAATTTTCTTTCACTTCCCTATTTATACAAATATATCATCTTCATTTTATGAAGTAAAAGTTTTCTCTTGAACTGCAGCCTGAATGGATGGCACCGGAAGTTCTACGGAATGAACCAGCCAATGAGAAGTAGGTGACTTTGATCGCATGATAACACATGCATATTTCACTGGCATTTTCTATTCTGTTTCTTACACGAATAGACTTGCTTGGTTACAGATGTGACGTGTACAGTTTTGGTGTGATATTATGGGAGCTGGTTACGCTATGTATTCCTTGGAAAGGTCTGAACCCGATGCAAGTTGTTGGAGCTGTTGGATTCCAGAATAGGCGTCTTGAAATTCCTGAAGATGTTGATCCAATGATTGCACAGATCATACGTGAATGTTGGCAAACGTGAGTTCTAGACTTAATTTAAGCACATTTATCTGTCTGGAGAATGATCATATAAAATGGACCAACTCAATCTCATCTTTATGTTCAAATATTCAATTGGTCTCTCATTTCTCAAACACTCATGCAACCGAACCAAACCTAGTTATCTTTACTTTCCATTAATCAGAATGATCTTTTTTATGGTTTTTCATGCTTCTTAGTTCTAGTATCATATAGGTAATAGTGAATCATTTGAACGATCTTGTTATTTTCGACTGTCTGCAATATTCATTGTTGTGGAACTCACATTAATAAAACATGTGTTATCATCTTTGCAGGGATCCACATCTCCGACCATCATTTGCGCAGCTCATGTCCCGACTACGACGTCTTCAACGGCTGTATATTGAAGGGCCAAATTTGGAGAATAAATTTATAGGATGATCTAGTGCAAAGTGTGTTGATTTAATAAGAGCTTGCTCGATCAGCTTTTCCCTGGCTCGAAGACCCAGGCACGGCCGGAAAGATTTACTTTCTAAATGTGCAAAGAAAGTTAAAAAAGAGTGAGGAAGCGTGAAGTGCCGGCTCATTCGAAGCGGGGGATCGGCACTTCCTGTCCTGAATGAGAGTGATTCCTCTGTTAAGTAATCAGCTGCATAATTGCAAGGGAGGATAACACTTGAAAATTGTGTCTAGTATTATGAATAGGTTAGCATTTGTCAACTGTAAGAAAGTACAAAAACAAAGTGAAAAGGAAAGAAAGAAAGGAAAATAATTACCCGTGGAGGTCTTTGTTTTTGGGGTAAGAAATCCCAAATCCTGGAATTGTAAACATGTGATCTACATCGTCGTGGGAAGAAAAGAAATTTCATTTGCCAATTTAAATGATTTTAAATTCTAAAATAACATTAAACCCTAAACAAGGTAATAATATACGTTCATAATCTTTCTTAGTTATTGATAATGGAAAACTTATAGACATTTTTTGTATTACTAAAATTGTTCAATGAGTTTATAAACATAATGATATTAGAATAATTAAAAGTTGGAATCAATTTCAAAATCCTTTATATCCTCGTTGAAGATTCTTGTCTCAAAAAGAGATTTCTTTAATATTAATATAAACTATTGTTTATGTGCTCAATATAAGATTTACAATCAATGATAAACATGAGATATTATTTAAGATGTAGGAATTTTTAAGGAGTTACATTAATGAAGACACTAAATTCTATCTGTTGTAAATATTATATGATAGTTACTAACTATATTATATAATATGCATACTTATGTATTTAAAAAAAAAAAAAAAAAAAAAAAAAAGGAGGAGGGGATTTACAGAGAGAGTTTACACTTGAGCCCATACACAGTAATTTTCACACAATCTCACACACACGAGATACACAAACATTACGAGAGGGTACACAAGAAAACACAGGAAACTAGCAAATCTCTTGTAAATTTCGAAAGAGAAATAAATAAAAGGTATCGCTTTTACCTTTGTTTTTCGATTCGGTTCCCTTACACTGCTTGCATGACCATTATTGTTGAGTTTTTGAACCACCAAGAACCATTCGGCCGAGGAACGAGAGGGAGGCCCTTCGTTTTTCAAAAAAAAAAAAATTCAGATCTATGTTTTTCTAGTCAATTTTTGAAAAACAATCTTTGTTTTTAGAAAGGAATTTCAAAAAGCTTTCGAGATCAAAAAAAATATATAAAAACACGAGTTTTGCCGCCGATGAACGACGGCCGGCGCCGTTCAACGGTGACGGCGAGGCGGCGTAGGGTGGCGTTTTACGGGTTCACGAAGAACCATGGCCCTGTTCTTCATTTCTGAAGAACAGGCGAGAACATATTAAAGGAGAAGGGAACGTTTTTTTTTGAGAAGAAGGGAAAATGAAGCATTAACCCTAAGCGTTAGCATATATGCACGACCCATGGGTCGGTTAAGACCCGCTTGCCTACCCGGTTTCACCCCAGATCCACGCGTTTCCAAAATAGAATGGGGAAACTCCCGTTTGGCCCTCTGCTTTTTCAAAACTTTCATTCTGACCCAAAATTTGACTTTTACGTTTTTTAATTTCGACCCCAAACTGGATCTCTCTTTCAAATCAGTCCTTATATTTGTATGCATATATAATTAATTGTATTTTTTTATCGTTTATATTTTTGGTTATTTTTATATATACACTATTTGTACGTTTTTTTATCTTCCTATTCCCTTTGTTTATATTATCATTATTACAATACATATATTTCGTTATTACTATCTTATGTATTTTATATTCTAATTATTTTATTTATATTACACCTTTGATTTATTATTTTTATTATTTCTCAGTACACATTTTGTCCACATGCATAATTGTTATATTCGTTTATTTACTTATTTTACCTTTTTCTTTTAACCCCGTTGTTTATTTGTTTATTTATTTATTTTTTTTTTCCTTTGCATTGTTAACATCATTTTTCCCCCTGTTCTATGTAATTTACTCATTTCTGTTTGATGATTCTTACTTTTTTTTATTTATTTGTTTATTTTATTTATTTATTTTTCTTTTGTTTTCATCATTTCATTTGTTTTCCCATTTTACTTTCTTTATTTCGTTTTCATTCTTTTTATCTAATGTGTTTTTTGGTTCTCTTAAGGGTGCAATTTAAAACAATCTAAAGTAAGTAGCTTGGATCATTGTTTTTACCTTTAAATTTAAACTTTCAATTTTTCTTAATTTAAGACAACTGGAAATTATATAGTACCGAAAGGGCAGTTCAAGGGTGCCAACCCTTCCTTGACTGTAACCGACTCCCGAATCCGACACATCTTTGGTAAGACGCAGATCAGGTAAGAAATAAGGTACCCGGTCAACCCATTTATTTTTAAATAAATGATCGGTGGCGACTCCAATCCATTTTCCTAAGTCGAAGCCCGTATCCCGGGCCCAACCGAAATACGGTTGCGACAATTAAAAATTTAAAATTAAAAACCTTTCTTCTACACCATCTTCTTCTTATTTACCAACCCTTTAAGAAGACCTTTGCTTTGATTCTTATCTGTTTTACCCTCTTTTGCTTCCAAGCATTTACCCTGCTTTCTGTTGCAGGTTAGTGAAACTCCTTCCTTCACTGGTCTAAATCTTTCATTTTTCTTTGGTTTTTTCTCTGTTCCTTTTCTCAATTCAATATGCATTACACAGAGCTGAAGTTCTTGTTTTGTTATGATGCACAGTTTCTGGGTTTTGCTTGGATTGCCTGAAGAAATGATTTAGAACTTTGGGGGAATTGGAAATCTGATTGGTGTCTTTAATTTGGTTTGATTGAAGAGTTTTAGGTAGGGAAAAATAATTTTGATTAGTTGACTGAAGGAGTAGGATCTGATATGTGGGATGCATGCTATTAGGTAAATTATCTATCTGAAGCATTGCAGACTTATGGTGATTTGTCATTGAAAAAAGTCTTCACCTTACAGTGCTCGGTTCACCGTATCGCGGCTATCTTGCCATGGACACCCTTGAGCCAATGTTAACTTTCGGCTATGGGGGGAATTCAATGTTGTAACGAGTCTTCAGTTTGTTAAAATTGGAATGATAGATACAATAAAAGGCCAAAATTAATGTTAGTCGAGATTATAAGGACGAAAACTCGATGCTTGCTAGGTTTCGAATAGACAAGAATGTAACATTTTATTAGGCGATTTAAAAAGGTTCGGATTCACGAATGTGCTATTATATCATAGTGTAGACTGCTTTGGATCTCAATGAACTTTGAACTTACACAAAGGCTTGATGCTCTTACTAAGGTATGCACTCATTCACTCTCTATTTTGGAACACTCACCAAATAAATGAAACATGGACCGGAGCATCAAGATTCAAATTCCGGATATTAAATGGCCAAAAATGTAATTTTGTCATTTTGTTAAATGGTTTAAAGGACTTAAATTAAAGTCTTGATTTTAGGAGGGGTTTAATGTGATATTTTCCCATCTTTCCAAGGGGTAAAGGTATTGGCTGGCTACCCAAATTCGAGCCAACACCAAACACATGCACGTCGCTGATAATGCAGTGCATCGTGGCCCCGAATGCGAATGGTCCGGCCATTCGTCCGGAGCTTCTAAGCCTCCCCGAAAATGCAAACACTTCTTCAGGAAATGTACCATGAGCGGCGTCGGGAGCATCAGGGAAGTCACCGTTGTTTCGGGCCTCCCGACTTTGACAAGTATCGAAAGGCAGGGCAGGTCCTGAGCATAGGCCAGGGGTGCAACCGCCTAAGGCCCTAAACTTGGAGGAGCCAATTTTTAAAAATATTTTTAAGTTTAATAATTAAAAAATATTTTTTTATTTCAAACACTCGAAAATATGATAATTCAGTGGGCCTCGATAATTAAAAAATATTTTTAAATATCATTTTTTATTTAAAAACTTGAAAACATGATGATCCAATAGGTCTCATTTTAATGATTGGAATGGAAATTAAGTGTGGGCTCCCACTTATCTTCTTGTCATCACCTCATGGCATAGGACCCTTAAAATGTGAGGATCGGACCTGCCGAAAGGCTCGAGATTTTGGATGACTCGAGGCGTATATTGAGCTTTAGGGGTGGCGACGGCGAGCATAGGCTGAGAAAAAACCGGTCAGTCACCTCGGTCACTGAGTTCCAAGAACGAAGGAGAGTTTACACCATTGGTTTAGAGTTTTATATAGTTGATATACCCAAAGCCGAAGGGAACACCGGGGAAGATAGATGTTTGGATTTTCTTTGGTCAAATTATAGTTTTGGTACCTCTAATATATCAAATATTTTACTTTCATTTTTTTGATAATAATTATTTTACTTTCATTGATTGGATGTTTGGGGTTGTTTTGTGTCCAATTGATTCATATCTTAACATTTTCGGTTCATTTCAAGTTGAATTAACTTCAGATTTAGATCATTTTGAATTCAATCGTTTCGAGTTTGAATCACATCGAATTTATATTATTTTATATTCAAATCTAAAAGTTAGATCTTCTTTTATTAAGTCATTTTCGAGTTATGATCACTTTAGATTCAAGTCGTTTTGAATTATTTATTTAAGTTATTCTAAATTTGGATTGTTGAGTTTTATGATCAAATCGAATTAGATCAAATTTCAACTTAAATTAATTGGAAAAGATCTAATAATTATTTATATATATAATTTATTATCAATTAATCCAATTTAAATATTATATAAATTCATTATGAAAATAATACTTCTAATCCAACTCGGTTCTATACACTGTAATAGCATTCTATAATTTACGAGACGGGCCATTGCTTAAATGGAAGTTTGGGCCTAAGTTAATCTTTATCTTTTATTTCGTTGGATCCATGTACATAATTTGCATGATGGTAAAAAATATAAGATTATTTAATATATTAATGGATATATTATATGATTTTATTTGATTAATAAAACTTATTTTTCTAAAATCAGATTTATGGGTGAATTGAACCCACTGAATAGCATTAATGAGAAAAAAAATATTTTTTTTAATTTTAAGTTTGAGTAGTTACATCTACATATGTATGCGTTTAATAAGTCAAAATATATTATATAGTAATCGTCTCAACCTATTAAAAAAATAATTAGAAGGTTTCAGTTACCGATCTAAATTAATTAGATAATCTTAACCATCCATTTACATTCATTAAATGAATATAAAATTCTTTGATATTGTAAGAGTTAATTGCATCACAAGTCCGTAACTTATGATATCATTTTAAATTAGTCTTTAAACTTTTAAATATTTTGATTTTATCCATAAATTACAACTCTCTTTCTAAATTAGTCCATAAACTTTTTTATATTTTAATTTCATCTACAAACCATGTCACTCGTTTTAAATTGATCCTCAATCTTTTGAATATTCCAATTTCATACTCAATTTTATCTAAACATGTAATCAGTTTCAACCATAGTTTAACCTATTTTTTTCAAGCATATAACATTATAACTTGGCCTATTGACTAACAATTTTAATAACAAGGGATACAATTAGCATATACTGATAATTTAGGATGAAATTGAAATGTTTAAAAATTTAGGTATCAACTTATAATGAGAGTCATATTTGGGGATGAAACTAAAATATTGAAAAGATTAAGAATACTTTAAAATAAAAATAATAATTAAAAGATGTGATATATGAGCACTTTTGCGGTACTATAACTTAATTTAATATTAAAAAATGATGAAAATGAACGTAATGAAAATATAATGAAAAATATAATATTTTAAGTTGAGTGTAACATAAAATATAATATTTTTCTTAATATTTTCGATTGAAACTAAAAATGATAGAAAAAAAAATATAATATATTTTGTTGTCAACAAAAAAATATAACAAGTAATATAATATTTTAGATTTAACCGAAAAATATTAAAAAAATATAACATTTTAAATTATGCTTAATTTAAAATATTATAATTTTTATTATATTTTAGATTATGCCAATTTTAGAAGTCTTTTATGGTATATAGATAGAGTTAACTTGTCAGCATTAATTTCTATTACACGGTGAAATTTAAGAGCTGAAAATACATTTTCCTACCACCATTTATACCTGTTGGTGGTTGCTCAACAGTATCGTTTTAAACCGAATCTTAAGAAAACATGGCAAAGTCCACAACAACACAGTTCATAAGGGGCAAGAAAAGATTGAATCATCACATCAGGATCCCACAAGAAAAACAACACCAAATTCTTGCTAAAACCCCTTCAAACATCAGCAATTACTGACAAAAATCCAAGGATCAGATCTCAGAAAGATCAACTGATATGGTTCAAAAATGTTCATTATGACAAAAGATTTGGTTTGCCTTCTTCCTCCATAGACAATCATAAGTAATAAGTAGTCAAGAGATTTAGACTATGACATTATGTCCTCTCTCTAAAGAGTAAATGACCCTTTGAAGTTTAAGTACACTAGAAGTAGACTAGACTAGACTACACTGTTAGTGCTAGCATTAATCTTTGCTTTTGGAGTTCTTGGAATCTTTGCTGGCCAACAACAATGGCAATAAAAAGCTGAAAAGAATAAAGATTGGTAATTGCTTGAATAAATGCGTCAAAGATCTTTGCCCATCAGATATTCTCGTCACCTTTTGGCGTAGCTTGCATCATCATATATGTTCAAAGTACACTGCAAAGAACACAGTGTGTTTTCTTGCTATACCCTTCACAATTTTTTGCAGTTTTGGTTGTTTTTTTGTGTTCACTCAACTTCACTCACCTTTCTCATCAAAACACATTAACCATGGAAGAACCTACCCCCATTGTGTCCAAAATGAGCTAAAAAAGCAAAAGACTTTCGTCTGAAAAATGGTGCCTGACATGAAACAGAAGTTTTCAACAGAGAGAATCCAGATATTTTAATTGTGATGATTGCAGAGAAAACAGATAAATGAGAGGGTGAGAAAGAAAGAGAGATAGAGAGAAAGGGGCCCTCTCTCTAAAGCCTGCAACAGAAATGAGTGGCACTGCACCAAAGAGTAATGTGTTCCCCTTCCTTTTCTCTCTACCTTCTTGTTTTTTATTTAACTTTTCTCTTTCCATCTTAATGAAATGGGGCCATCACCATATTGTGTTTTCTCTTCTGCTGCATTTCTGCTTTTTATTTTTCATTTTTTCTGGGGCTCTTTTGGACTCTACCTTCGTCCCTTTTTAGTGGGGCTCTTCTCTATGATTTTTGCTGTTTAAGTACATTTTCCCAAGAACCCAATGTGAGTTTTTAGAGCTTTAAAATCTTTGTTGGACTGATTATGTATTATCTTGTTGGAGTCTGAAACTGTGAATCTCAGTTTCTTGGTGTTTGGGTTCTTTTGAGAGATTATAGAGCTCCACTTTTCTGTTCATGCAAACAAATTAACCCCACCTTTTTTGTGTTTTCTTCCTTTTATCATTTCTTTATATTCCTTTATGTTAAAGAAGAAAACAAAGGGTTCTTCTTTTTTCATTGCAGTTCTTTGATGGCTTTTTGACAATGCTCTTTTTTATGGAGAATCAGAAACCCAATGATTTCATGTGAACTTTGCATTACAATGGCTTCTGTTGAGCGTCTCTGAGAATACCCTATATTCATTTCTCAATCAATATAGTTATAATGAAGCTGGTTTTCCCTTGTAGATATCATTGTGCAAGCTTGAAAATACTCTACTCTTCATATAATCTCAGGTTAGTCATCCTTTTTATTTCAACTTACCTCTTTGTTTCAGACACACAAGCATTGAATAAGATGAACTTTGAGGCCTCTAAATGTTCTACTTTCTAGTACATGAACCTTTTCTATTTGTTCTCAAGTTCTTCCTTTTTGTTCAACTTTAGACCTTCTTGTAACTGTGCTTTAGCGTTAATTTCCATAGGTTTTTTTTTGCATGGATTTGTGTTTTCATGGCATTATGAGTCTCATTCTACTAACTGAAATCCATCTGCACGTGGAATTTGTGGTGAAATATTGCTCTATCAATAGTCTTATCTTTTTGTGTAAGAGAGTGGGGCAGGAAATGACCTCAATAATTTTTGAAAAAAGTAATCACATAATGCCTCTGAGAAATCTGTGTACCATTTTTGTTTATATGCATTAATTTGGTGATTTTATTTCATTACCAGTTATCCAGGTTCATGGTGGATCAATGGAATGATCCTTGTTGATCTCAAGGAAGTTGTTTATTGAACTTAGTTTGGCATGAAACCCTACATGTTGAAGGAGCTTCATATGCCTATGGCCATGTGATTTTTGTTCCCAAAGTATAATGGAGAATGATATGTTCGGTGTTCCTCGAGCGATGGTGAGTCGAAATTCCGTTGTTATCGATTTGATCCCATCAGAGACGATCACTAATAATTCAATAGTCAATTCCAACTTGTTTAACCAGATCAATCAAAACCAGACACTAGCTGGATTTCATGTGCTTCCCTCGTTGCAAGGGGAGTTTAGTGGGGATCTAGGTGCTGATCACCATACGAATCATGTCCGATTCTTTGACCCTAATGCATTGGTTGGAAGGAAGAATGCGAGTGTTGATTCGGGTTCGGAACATAACATTGAGTTTCATGAGCAATTCATGGGGAGGACACCCATTTCTTTGACTCCACCTGCAAGGTGTGTTCTTCAAGAAAGCTTAAACGAGATAGCGAACGTACCACCTTCGATCTACCCTCAGGATTTTAGGACCTACTCTTCAACTGAAAGTACTGATGGCATGAATTCTACAATGGTGGCTTCAGTAAATAATGTGTTTAATGAAGTTTTTGGCAATATGGCAAATAAATGGGATTTCGAGAAGTTTCCTGGTTCTCTCGAAGTGATAGGGAAAACCCCATCGAAGATGGCATTTCAACCTTATTCTTTGATAGGATTTCCAGATCCAAACGGTTGGATAGCGTCAAATGGTGCGAATATGGGCCTGGATTATCCCTGTGGTTCCTCAAAAAATAGTAATGATCTATCTTTAAGTCTTGCAACATCACTTCCTGGTGTAATCAGTGGGAACAATATACCTGATCAGTCCTCTGAAATAAATTGTTGCTTGAATGCAACAAGATTAGGCTCAGAACAAACTTCTTGCAATGCTAAGGAGCTTTCTCTGTGTTTTGGTTCCGATGGACCATTTCAAGTATCACATTTGATATCGGGATCGAGATATCTTCATGCTGTTCAAGAAATACTTGCTCAAATTGCAAGCTATTCTCTTGAAAATCTAGAGCAGACGAGTGTCGGAGCCAGAGCAACTACGGCATTCTCCTCTAGCTGCCTTGCCAAACGATGGATGGCGATGATTGATTCCAATGATCTCCCTGATGTTAATGGTAACTCCGAGGTTCAGTTAGATGCAGAAGTACAAACAAGGTCTGTCGAAGCAAAAAAATCCCAACTGCTGACTTTGCTCCAAGCGGTATGTTGATCTAGTTTATGCTTGTAGAATTATGCATCATAACTTTTGTCTGGTTCAATTGCTATATTGAAATATGAACTGAATAATTTTCTGGGTTATCGAATATGTAAGTTGGATTTTTTTTGGGATAAATACCTCGTATTATTATCCAAGAAGCAGTAGAAAGCTCACTGCTACAGCCAATACAGTCAACAAAGATCTAACAACAGCCTCCTAGGAGGTATTAATCCCCCAAGCTAAACAAAGATTCTTGTTAACATCACTACTCTTTATGACTATCCTAATTGCCTTCACCCTAACAACTTTAATATAATTCACCACATTATGAGTAAATAAAAATAAATGTAAGTTGGATTTGTTTCTCCGATTTCTTGCTTTTATCTATTTGATGATGTGTTTAACACGGCATTGGTGTGTACTCAAATGGCTTTGCTACAATCGAGACCAGGTTGATGACAGATACAGTCAATGCTTGGATGAGATCCATACAGTTATATCCGCATTTCATGCCGCAACCGAGTTGGACCCTCGAATGCATGCTAGTTTTGCTCTACATACCATCTCTTTCTTGTACAAGAACCTTAGGGAGAGGATCAGCAACCAAATCCTTGCCATGGGAGCAAATTTCGACAGCGGATGCACGAGAAGTAGCAATAATTCTTTTCAGAATTCATTCATACGGGAGCAATTGGCACTTCAGCAGCTGAAGAAGAAGGATCAAATATGGCGACCACAGAGAGGATTGCCAGAGAAGTCTGTCTCAGTTTTACGTGCATGGATGTTTCAGAACTTCCTTCATCCGTAAGCCATCTTTCCGGATAATTGCTTTTAGGACACAAAATCTAGAGCAGTTCTGCATTTCTTGACATTTTGTATTCGCAGGTACCCCAAAGATGCAGAGAAACATTTACTTGCAATAAGAAGTGGCTTAACCAGGAGCCAGGTACCTGAGCATTCGATAAATTTTTCAACTTAACCGGTGCTTTCTTATCAGACATTTATTTGATTCGATTGTTTTCATTATTTTCATTTCGATCGACGGATGACTAGGTCTCTAATTGGTTCATAAATGCCCGTGTTCGTCTATGGAAGCCGATGATAGAGGAAATGTACTTGGAGATGAACAGGAGAAAAGCACGACAAAACGAGGAAGGAACCAACAGCAGGAACCCCCAGAGCCAGATAAGCATCAACAACCATCAAAGGTTTAACAACTAAAAGCACAAGAAAGAGTATACGGATTGGATCCCGGATTCGAGCAACTTTCCGGTAGGAACATCCACCTCAAGGATACAACTGTGCATAATGCTCCATTGTAGTTGGCACCTTCAGCTTTTAAGGGTGTGAATTCAAACAGAGTACTCTCTTGTCGAAAATCTTGTGAAATTCATAGTAAAATTTCAATGGAATCTGTTAGTATGTTGAATACGTTGAACGCCCTATGATGGGTAAATGGCACGATTTTGTTTGTTGCATGCATGGGATATATATATGTAGAATGTAATACATAGTAAAACCGACTCAAAAGTTTTTGGGCTCCGAATATAAGTATATTCAATAATTTTGAAACATTAATTAAATATTTTATTATAAAAGCATAAATTAAACTTATCAAATATATTATTCTCATTGTTTTATTAAGAAAATATTTTTTATTATTCAGAAAATACTTTAAATACAATTAAAACAATAAATGATCATCGCTAATCTATAATTTCTTTTGATGTGAAAGAGGCATAAGCCATTACTTCAAGACGAGGTTATTCGGGCAGAAGGGACCATAAATATCTCTATTAGGGATATTTTGCAAAAAATCAAGAGTTAATCTTTAAACTAATAAGGATTCAGTTGAGGAAGAGGGGTCTTTGGTTATTCTATCAGTCGTTGCGTTAGCTTCACACCGGATAAGCCTTATATCAACGAACCATGCTTTATTGATTAAAGCAACAATGGCACGAATTAGAGAGAAGGGACTAATGAATGAAGTGGAGGATAAGAGCCTGTGTACATCCGCGCTATCTATTTGAAGCGAGACTCTCTCAGCCTTGGGACGAGGTCAGTTTTAATCCTTCATATATTTCCCAAAGTTTGGCTTAAAGAACCGTTGTGACTCCTAGCTGCTTTCTGAATCCCAGGATGAAGTTACCGTCTTGATCTCGTAAAATGCCACATGTTGAACCGAGACTGCTCCATCAGTGTTTAGTGCAATCTGGCCCTGTCGAGAGGGTTGCCATTGGATGTTTTCGATTCTATTGGTCATTGGCGAAGGACTCTGATTGATGTTGCATGAGTACGATTTCGCCCAACTGATACAAATGTTGAGAAGGAAGCTGTTTGGAATGGACTCACCACAAAAACTAGAAGCGTCTATAATATTATTAAACATATTATTTTATGAAGATGGAAGATGGAAGATGGAGCTGTGAGTGGAAGCTCATAGTGTTCCCTTTACTAAGTCGACTCTGATACAAATAATTTAGGTCTCATTACTCATTCTCGTTGTCTCGACAATTGACATTCAACCCTCAAAGGACGAAACCTCATCATTTATTTTATATCTATCGTACATTTAAAATTTAATTCGAACTACTTTTTATCAATTTACTATATTATTAAGTACAAAAACTTTGGGTCAACCTTGCACGTTTACTATACGGTGTAAAAGAAAATTTGTAAAACTATTTGGATTCAGCAAGTTCTAACAAAGAATAGTTTGATGTGGGAATCTAATAATTTTGCTGGAAAGTTGGTGGTAAAAGACAAAGATGAGTGTTTCAGGGACACTGTGACAGCAACTAGTATAATGGTTATTCTTTGTTTTCCCATCATTTTCCTGGAAAGTGACATGAACCCATTTTCAATGGCTCACTCTATAGCCAGATGATCAGGCAGTGCACCACACTTGTTAGACCCCATCATGTTTTTGTTTTTATTGAATGATTGAATCATCAACAGTAAGCAGAGATACAAAATGGAAGTGAGTATTTGATTCAATCATAAAATTTGAGTCGGTAAAATTTACAACAATCATTTTATTATCTAAGTTTTATTTAAAATCTTTTCGGATCGAATTGAATATATATTTTTAATTTTTTTCACATATATAATTATATATAATTTCTCTCTTTAATGTTATATGATATATACGTAGATGTGTAAATAAGATTTATTCCGTCATTTGTTAAAAAAATTAAAGATAAACTATTGATGAGAGTAAACTATGAATGAGGAATTTTTCTCAAAAGAGTTATAATTTATAATTTGAGAATCAAATTAAATAAAGTAAAAAACCAAGGGATTAAACTTTTAAAATAAAAAATTTATTATAAAAAAGAGGGGATAAAGCTACTTGTTTATTTCATAATTTTACAGTAGTTGAAGAATATATAATTCAAATTTAATAAAAAAATAAAATGAATTATAAAAAAAAATGACCAATCTATAAAAAAAAATTAAAGAACTCGACTAAATACTTTTCAGTTTTTAAATTATTCAAGTTTGAAATTCGAACTAATAATTCTCATTAACTAATAATTTGAATAACTCGACACCACCAAGTTATATTTAAAAAAAATCTCAACTATTTTTGTTTATCCCTAATTATTATGACAATTTACAAAATTATTTTACCTCGGCTAGAATTTATGGTTTACAAATAAAAGAATTGACAATACTTCTCTATCTACAATCCTCACCAACCTGTCAAAAGATGTTTACAAACACCTTATATATATACATATATATATATATATATATATATGTGTGTGTGTGTATATATATGCATTACAAAAAGGTGATGTTGCCGTTTCTCTCATCTTACCTCAACAACTTACAAAGAAATCCGGGTTTTAATCGGTTTCAACTTCAAGCCCATTCTTTCCGGCGAAAGAAGCTCCGGACAGATGTAAGATGGACTCAAAGGGCTTCTCGGGCTAATGGTTAGAGTTGGCCGGTATAAGCCGTATCCTGTAAGGAAGTACTCTATCGGTATCAACATGGCATGGGGTTGCTCCTCTGTCACCATCGACCCGCATGCCTGAACCTGCAGGTTCAGTTGTTTCGAGATTGTTAGTTCATGGCAATGCCATGTTAATATGATTTTGGAAGTTGGATGCATGATGTTATAACATGTTAGGCATTAGACTGCTTGCATACCTCCACTAGGGCACTGTATCTTCTATCTAATTTCGACGTCATGTGAAGAGCCTCAGCATGGAATGGAGAGTTCTCCCCGACAAAGATTAGCGAACGGCAACGCAGTTTTCTCAGTCCTTCGCTAAGGTCGGGTCTCCTGAACAACGGTAAATAAGATTTTATGTTGGATCAAAGAAGTAACAGCAAGCTCAAAGTAAATAAGAACGATCTACTGTCGGACTGGGCTTACCCGTTCAATGCTTCAAGGAATCGGCAAACATTTATACTCTGCCTTTCATCTAACAACTGCAGGGGTACAAAAAACACTAATCATGTCAGAAAAGTGCCATGTGAAGGACTATCATATTTCGTATAAGTCGGATACAAGGAGCCGCAGAACTAACTCTTCTACATGCTTGAACTATATCGGATTCTGCTACTACAACACCACCGCGAACTTCCTGAAATTGTCATTCACAACCTCATAACTCAACTAGTCTGGTTCTAGACACAAAAACAAACAAACGACACAAGTTTTTGAAGCAGAAAAATACCTTACTGAAGTACCGCTTAAGCAATAACTCCTTTACCATGCCACACATGCCATAGAAATAAAGCAAATTCAACATCACCTGAAATAAAACGAAAATCTATCTAAGCACGTAATCATTTAGCCCCCAAGAGAAAATAAAATGGTCTAGGACAGGAACCTTATTCAACAACCATTCTGTCCAGGAAGGTGGTCTGCAGAGGGGTGAAATGAGTATTAACCCAAGGACACGTTGACTGTATTTCAACTATTAAGGGGGGTGGGGGAAGAAGTCATAATTATTTCCAATTCAAGAGGGAATGATGAAGAAAATTTCCACAAACGATGACAACATAATCGACTTACTGCAAATAGGGTCAGAATATATGCTCCGGCAGTAACTCCCATACAGATTACAGCACCGAGCCTGCCGTTAAAACATTAAAGAGAGTTAAAAGATAAGGAATATCAGCTTGCTTGCCTTTATTCTTTCCAATAAAAATTATTAGCGCTGATAATATATACACGAAGACGACAGCTTAAGAAATTATCTAAGGGTGGTAGGTGCCTCAATTTGCATCCTTTTCAGAAAACTACAGCACACCAATTACCAGCCATCATGACAAAATAATATGTGCCATACAATGTCTAGAGCATAAGATATTATAGTAAAGTAAATTTCTAATCGGCTGACACTTGGAAATGTGAAGTAAATAAAGTAACGATGAAACTATATTTTACCCTTTATAAAAAAAACTATATTTTACCCGAAAAAGTTAAGAACCTCAACAATCTGATCTGCCAAGTCATCAACGGAAGGAATAAGGTCATCAGATTGGACCGGGGCAGCTCCTAACTGCAATATTTCTTGAAGGAAGTTCGGATAAGAAAGGTGTGAATTATAGGATTAAACTAAAACAAGGAAGATTAAAACAGCTAATTAAAACAGGAATAGAACTGACCTCATGCCCGGGAGGACTTATATGATATATGCAAAAGTTGTGCAGGAGTAAGGAACTAGCTTCTGGGCAAAAGAACAAGCCTTGGAAACAGGAGATATCTGCGCAATGTCACATGATAAAAAAAATTGAGAAACAAAACGTATCACCCCAAACGATCTTGGTCAGTACAAAAATCTAACAAATAATGTCACGAACTTCAGGCATGTTTTGGATTAAAAGCATTACAGCCTCGAAACCCATGCACTATGATGTGAACACAAATGAAGATCTCAAATATAAAACAATATCTACGTTTAAGGAGAAAATTCACCAAGCAAAGATAAAAGCCAAATTGTTAACAAAAACCAAGATTCATTTTCATAGATTCTGAAGAGCATAAGCACAAGGAAACTAGGCGAAACGATAATGTTCCCTGCATTACTTACGATTTAGAGCTACATCAGGATAGGTTATAAGAGCCCGCTTATCTCGGTCTCCAAACACGACAACAGAAACCGAACCGAGGCGAGTTTTCACAAGGTACTCCTGCAGATAGATTTGATGATGCATTGTTATTCATTTAACAAGCCTTCACGGAAAACAACCAACCTAATCAAAACAAAATCACAATATATGATCTAGTACTACT